CTCTCCGTCTGGCTTACTGGCCAACCACTTCTCAAGGCCAGTACACAAAGGAAATTCCTGCGGGATTGTTTACGCTCAGTCACTCCCAGAACCGGTGACCTGCTGTTCGGTTGTAGTCGTCCGGACCCGGTACTCTACCTGCCGGACTGCGCCTCTGGACTCCGGCCCATTCATGGCTGGAGCGCACTTGTCTGAGAGTCGCTAACTTATTACTTACATTCTACTCGTGTTACACTTTATTAAATTATCCCTAACACTCTGACCTTTCACGCCTTATATTTTTCACTAGCTTATAACTATTGGCGTACATTCTATTATCTATTATCCGACCGGACTACTTCGTATCCCACAGAACGTTGACCGCTTACTGATTATTATTTACTGACAGTTATGCAAAACATTTTAAAATATGGGATTTTCTACGTATTGCGGGCGTAAAAGGAGTGTGCAATTTACGTAACTGCAGTCCCATGGTCACAATGATCTGGAAGCAGCAATTCAATATCAATTCAATTTCCATTACTAGTTTTGTATTCAGGAGAAAATATTTCATTCCAATTGGTAAGGAATGGAAATCCATCAGCTGCTGACCAGCGTAAACGGATAGACAACTGCAGTACGCGCCAAAATTCGTGCAACATACCGACGTATGCGAAAGATTAATATTCTTTCGCTAATCGGCATTAACTCAAGTTGTGATACTAATTATCCTGAAGTCTATTCTGAAGTTATTTCAGTCATGATAGGATGCCGGCTATTTAGCGAGCTTATTTTGGACCACTAACGAGATCTATGTACTGTAAGTGGTGGCTACTTACGTAGTATGAATTGTTATCATTGATTTTGACGGCCTTTAAAAATACAAATATATTTTATGGAAAACATAAGCGAAAAAAATCATTTGTTGTTTTCGTTTGGTAGGAAATTACGTTTTATTTAAGTTTTGTACTAAGAGAAAGCGTATGGTCCGGTTTGAAGAAAGTTTCTCAATTTCCGAATAAGTTTGAAACCTACTGACCGTCGCACTCGAAATCAAGGTTTCAAAACTGCGCACTCTGTACATACTGTTTGAGTAAAAGTACGTTTTCGCCTAAAATTCGAGGAATGAGTCGCATAGTTTTCATAAAATGTTGCAATAGATGTGGATCATGCTTTATACAGTATAGGCAGCATTAATACATTGAAGGATATGATGTATCATGAATAAACACACCACAATCGTAAAAAAACTCATGACTAGAAATTTTCCTAACACCGAAGGATACCCTTGCTTTAGGTATAAAAGTCAAAGAAGGCGTAATTTTCTATCAAACGAGTACAAGAAATTGCTTTTTCAAGCATATTTTCCATATAATATATTGGAATTTATAAAGGCAGTCAAAATCAATGATAAAAACGCATACTACAGTGGTCGCCGGTTATTAAGCCCACCTCGGGCCCAGACCAATTTGGGCTTAATAAG